CATGATGTGACACCCCGAAATCCATATTCAATTAAGGGATTAATTGAGTAATTAATCCTATTTCAATTGGTGATTTAATTCCTAAAAATCCTGAAAATTCAATAGTTGGGGACTAGTAATTGACTAGTCAACCCCAAAGTCAAGGTTGTACCTTAAGCCTTATAAGGAGTTCCCTTGTTCCCTTGCATTTCCTTATGTTAGTAAGGGTATTCTTGACTTTTCACTTGGTGTAAGTATTGTAAGCAAACCTAGTTGACCACCCTCATTTCTCTCCTTACACTTTCTAAATTCTAGCTCCACATTCTCTCTAAAAAGGTAGATAGCTTTTCTTCCAAGCCAAGTTGAAGCCTTGCCAAAACTTCAAGAGTTGCCTCCAATATTCAACCTTTCATACATTTGGGCATCTAGGAGGGTAAGATCTAAGTTCATCTTGTGTTTTTAGTATTTTCTAAGGTGTCTTTTCTTAAAGATAGGATCTTTATGATCTTTTGGTGTGTTCTTGAAGTGGGTTTGGAAGGTGAGCTTTGTTAGGAGCTTGTTGAGGTGTAAAGTGAAGGTCTTTAGTCTTCAAGAGGTAACCCATGCTCTACAAAATCTATTTTGCTTACCTATATGTGATTTCTTGGATTCTACTTGTGATTTTGCTATGAAATGTGAGTGTTTATGCATTGTCTTGTGAAAATGCATATCTAGAGCTTGTGTTTAGGGTTCATTTGTGCCATTGTTTGGCTATTCCTATGATTCAAGTCATTTTGTTGTATTTGGTGAGATTTGGCCTGTTTTGGACGTGAATTTGAGCTTAGAGTTGAAAATCCCCGAAGGGATTATTTTGGGCACAGGTGTGTACCCGCGGGCGGAACAGCGGGTAGGGGACCAACCCGCCGCCCACCCGCGGGGTACATAATTTGGAGGGCCTGTACCCGCGGGCGGAACCACGTGTAGGGGCCTACCCATGGGCCTACCCGCGGGGTACAATGTGGTGTTGTTAGGGGATTTGTTCCCCGTGATTTGTTTGACTCGGTATTTGGTCTTTTGACTTCCCAATGTTCTTTTGTAGAACTATTTGAGCAACTTCTTGATGTTTCGTATGTCTAGAACTATATGGTAGGATTCCATGTAGGTTTTTGGCGTCTTGAATCGTGCTAAGTGTTCAACATTGTGTTTCGTTGAACTATGATGAGTCTTGTATGTTCTTCGAAACTACGTTTGGTTTACCCGTTTGATAAGCATGCTAGTTTGGTGTTTAAATGCTAGCGTGTGTGTTGTTTGTACCTTCCGATTGGTTGATGATAACTTGTGTTATTCATCGTTGTTGTTAGACTGTGATCCATTCCTTGATTGAGTATGGTTTCATACCTTTGTTGTGATCCATTGATTGATTCCTATTGAGATGTTATGTGTGTGTGGCTTTACCTGGATTGCACGATTAGTGGAATGGGACACTAGTCACAAAGGTAGTGTGGTGGTCCTCGTGGTGGCCACGACGTGATTATGGAGTTGTGACATTTGTGTAAGTTTCACGTATTTCTTGGGAGGCATGTGTTGCCTTGTGTGTGATCGGTATCCTCGTGTACTATGATATCGGTGGTTCTGTTGGGGATCTGTTGGAGAGGGGACGATGGTCCTCGGAGGGAAAAGGTTGGACTTGGTGTACAAGGGTCCTGGAGGTAAAGGTTGGAACTAGACAAAAGGTTGGGGGTAGCCATAAGGTTGGAACCGGGCATAAGGAAGACATATCAACTCGTGATGGGTGATGTCATGAGGGCTTGTGTAGCCATTGTTTTGAGTTCTCTTCTTGTGACGTGTGTAGTCACAAAGCCATGTGTTGCCTAGGCATGTGTTGCCATTGGTCTTGTCTTTATCCTTTTGAGTGGTTGTTATCCTTTGTGGTCTTGGGATGTCTTCCCGTGTTCTTGTTGAGAGTGTTAAGTCTTGTGTTGACAATTACTCTTGGTTTTGTAGTTATATACATATGTATTCCATTTCAAAAATGGCTTTACAACTTATATCTTACCTACATATGTTATTTCACATGTATTGGTGGGTTACCAGCATTATTCGCTGACCGGGCGTCGTCCCATGTTTTATTGTGTTCTTTCAGGTGATGTTTAGACGAGTGCGCGGTCTAGTACCAGCTAGTATAGCTCCTCCTTTATGTTTTGTGGCCTGTGAGCCAGCTTAGACTTAGTATGATGAGATATTGGTTTTAGATTTGAACAATGCAGATGTTTGCCTATGCGTTCACCCCTTTGGTGAGCGTGGCATAGCACCCGGTATTCCAATTTATTTATATATCTTTCTTTTAGTGTTCCGGTCTGTTTGTTGTTTTTGGTTTAGATATCTACATTTTTAAAGCTTTAAATAACATGGTTTTTAGGGGGTGTTACAGTTGGTATCAGAGCCTAGGTTTGAACCTAGGAGGGTAAAGTCTAGACTTTCTAAGTGGCTAAGTGTGGTTTGAGACCTTTAAGCGACCTTAAGAATCTAAGTGTTAGGCTTAGGACTCTAGGTTGCGCGGTGAGCTGAGTGTTGCTTTCTGTTATTTTGCTTGTTTGCTATCTTTTGGTAATCGTGTTGTTGTTGTAGAAGTTTGCGATGTCTCCTCGTCCCCGAGCGCGCACCCCGGAGACCCCAACGAACGAGCAACTCGCTCAGAATCTCCACCAGTTGAAGCAGACGATGCAGACGCTTAGTGAGGCCTTGCTGAACAACAACCACCCTGTGCCACCTCCTTAACCTGCTGGGCACCGGGATATAGGTCGCTTGGTGTCAGGTCACAGGCCGCCGACCTTCGCGGGTGAGGAAGACCCGGTCGTTTTGGAAGAATTGATGAGGGTGTTCGATAAGATCTTCGCAGTTGTGGGTTGTCCCGAAGAGGGAAGGGTAGAACAGGCAACGTTCTACTTTTGCCATGAGGCTGATCTGTGGTGGATTCATGAGGGTCCGGCCTACCTTGAAGAACCTGAGTTCGGCTGGTCCGCGCTTAAGGATAGGATGCGCGAGAGGTTTTACCCGGCACATGTGCGAGCCGCCATGTATGAAGAGTTTCTCCATCTGCAACACGGATCTCTATCTGTGGTCGAATACCACAAGAAGTTCTTGGAGTTGGCGCGTTTTGCTCGGATGCTCGTGCCTACGGAGCTCGCAAAGATCGAGAAATTTGTGGCCGGTTTGAATTATGAGGCGCGAAAAGCTTTGACTGTGAGCAAGTCGAGTTCTCTTAAGGATGCTTATATGAGTGCCGCCGATCTGTACCGTGTTCAGCAACTTCAGAGAGGATGTTACGAGCTAGCAAGGAAGAGGACCGAGAGCGGAGGTTCTTCCACCTTCAAGAACCCACGACCGAGTTTTCAAGCCAAGAACGTGTCATCCTCAACTCAAGGACCCAATCGGATGGAGCAAGGGAATCAAGCTAAGACATCTCCTTGTCATAGATGTGGGAAGGTGCATGCTGGTCAGAATTGCAGCGGCTTCGCGTTGCAATGTTTTCATTGTGGTGATAGAGGTCACAAGGTTGCGGAGTGTCCCCAGTAAGCCAATCAGAGGATGTTGCCGTCACCCCCGGGAGCCGGAGAGGTAGTTCGGGCAGTGGAGCAGCTGGAGCTAGGCCACCTGGGAGGGTCTTCGTGATGGGGCGTTCGCAGGCAGAGTCCGAGGGTTTGGTGGAGGAGGAGCTAAAAGGTAATCCTTTCCTAATCTCACTCTTGTCCATTGTTCGCACCTTGTTCTTTGTTGCCTTGAGTGTTATCTTGTGTTTCGTCGTTGTCTATTTGAGTTACTTGACAGTCCTTGGCATGCTTTTCTTTGGTAATGATTCTTTTGGAGTTAAGTGTAAGCTCTTCTTGTTAAGTGACTCTCTTAGTTTTATGAGTAAGTTTCGTTGGGGAGTTGGTTATTCATCTCCGGAATGAATCGTGTTTGGGTTAACTCTACAATCCTTGCACTTAGTTATTCTTGCAACCCTTCTTTTGAGAACCCTCTAAATTTCCCAAATATTCCTTGAGATCAAGAATAGAGAATCCATACCAAAAATCCTATCTTGTGTAGCCCAAAAGTCAAGCAAAATGTTTAATTATAACCCTCGAGTTTCAAACCTAGGCCTACTCTTTGCCAACCCAACCTCTAAACCACTTGAGCTAATTATCTTTCTTGGAACCTACTCAATTTTAATTCCATCTAAACCATAATTTCCACTTTACCCAAATCCCCAAATTAAATCATCTTTTCCCCAATTTTTCCCCAAAATCCCTAAATTTCAAAATCTTTCTTTCTCTTCCTTCCCTACCCGTGAGCAGCCGAAAACACACCCCCCCCCACCCGTCGCCTCACCTGCAACCCGCCACCACCACCTGCTCGTCGACGCACCACCTGCCGCGCCACCGCCGTCCACCGGTTTAGCCGCCGCCAGAGCTTTGTTGCCGCTGGGCCGTCACGACGCCGAGAGAGAGAAAGAGTAGCGAGAGAGAGAGAGAGAGAGAGTGGGGTGGGCAGCGAGAAGAAGGAGAAGAAGAGGAATGTTGTGGGCTTCATTTGTCGAGCTTTGGATCATCTCCTACCATGCCTAGAAGGTCAAGTTTGGCTAGAAAAGTGGAATTGGTGGATGCCCACTACCTTGTTCTTGAAGGTAAAGCCTTTGATCCGGAATCTTTTCCTAATTCTTTGTTGGATATGCTTAGATTCCAAGGTTTGTTAGATGGGTTTCTCGCCATAAGGGCCAAGACTTACCCAAGTTTGGTTAAGGAATTTTATCGTCACATGGTTGTGACAAAGGATGGTGGTAAGCTTGAGATCACTTCTAAAGTAAGAGGTGTGAAGGTAGTTTTGTCTGAAAAGAGGCTGGCTCAGCTTTTGAGTTTATCTGCTTCGGAAGTTTCTCAGTATAGCGGTAACTCATGGATTAGTACGGATACCATGGGGTACCGGGACTATTTGAGTTATTTGTTGGGTCGCACGAGTGGTTTCACTCAAGCTTTAAGGCCGGAGAAAAAGTGGTTGTCCGCGGAACAGAGAATCTTGGTTATGTTGGTATCGGAATGTTTGTTGCCTAATAACAACAAAAGCAAGTTGTTGGGAAAGTTGGAGTGCACCTTTGCCTTCTGCCTCAAGAATATGGTTAAGTTCAACCTGCCAGCTTTGATGTTGCAACACATGGTTTTCTGCCGTGATCATAACCGGAAAAGCCTACCGTATGGGATGGTGTTGAGCTGGATTTTGGTTAGGAAGGGTGTAAGCGTGGATGGTTGTCTACCAAAGGCCATGGGAAAGTTGGTGTTGGATGTCACCAATCTTCGGAGTTGTAATTTGTTTCAGCTAGATGATAGTGATTACATTACACTTGAAGAAGTGGTAAGGAAAGCACCTGAAGAAAGGGCCCAGTTGGCAGCCGAGCTTGGGATCCATGCCGGGAAGTTGAGCCTCGCTGTTCAGAGTTTAGGAGGCGATGAGGAAGTTGAAGATGAAGCAGGTCGTGAGGATGAAGTGGGAGCACCGGAAGCTGTTGAGGCCGAAGAAAGTGATTCTGAAAGTGAAGAGAATCACCGGAGGAGGGAAGCTCGCACCATGAGGGAGCATGACTCCATGATGCATGAAGACCGTGTTGTCACCTTGCTTCGATGGCTGGTCTGGCAAGATCCAGGTGGCGTTGAGGGAGTGGTTAGCCTTTCGGCTTAGGGCGTCTGCCACAACGTTAGCCTTTCCTTCGTGGTACTGGATATCTAGGTCGTAATCTGTTATGAGTTCCAGCCACCTTCGTTGACGCATGTTTAGATCTTTCTGGGTGAAGATGTACTTTAGGCTTTTGTGATCCGTATAAATCTTGCATTGTACTCCGTATAGGTAATGTCTCCAAATTTTCAGGGCGAACACGATGGCGGCTAGCTCGAGGTCGTGTGTGGGGTAATTTTCTTCGTGGGTTTTGAGTTGTCTAGACGCGTATGCTATTACCTTGCCCTTTTGCATTAGTACGCATCCCAGCCCCTTTTTGGACGCATCGTTGAAGACCTCGAATCCTTCCATCCGGGAGGGAAGGGCTAGGACGGGTGTTGTGGTTAGTTTCTCTTTCAATTCTTGAAAGGCTGTAGTGCAGTTGTTGTCCCATCGAAAGGGGGTTTCCTTTTTCATGAGCTTGGTGAGAGGTTGAGCTATTTTGGTAAAATCGGGTACAAACCTCCTATAATAGCCAGCTAATCCTAGGAAGCTTTTGACCTCCGAAAGCGATTTTGGTGTGGGCCATTCCTTGACGGCGTGGATCTTGGTGGGGTCCACCTTGATTCCTTCTTTGGTTATCACGTGACCCAGGAAGGCTACGTTGTCCTTCTAGAATTCACTTTTGGAGAAAATGGCGTATATTTGGTGTTCTCTTAGGCTTTGTAAGGTTGTGCGGAGGTGCTTTTCATTTTCTTCCTTGTTTTGGGAGTAGACCAAGATGTCGTCGATGAATACAATGACGAAGTCCATGAATACTCGATTCATGAGGTCCATGAATATAGCGGGTGCATTGGTGAGTCCGAAGAGCATCACCGTGAATTCGTAATAGCCGTAGCGTGTTCGAAAGGCTGTTTTCTGGATATCTGGGTTAGCCACTTTTATCTGATGGTATCCGGATCTTAAATCAATTTTCGAGAACACCCCTGCTCCTTTAAGTTGGTCGAACAGGTCGTCGATTCGGGGAAGAGGATATTTATTCTTTATTGTAACTTGGTTTAATTCCCTGTAGTCGATGCACAGGCGCATGCTCCCATCTTTCTTTTTAACGAACAATACTGGTGATCCCCATGGTGAGGTGCTGGGGCGGATGTATCCTTTATCTAGTAGTTCCTGAAGTTGCGTTTTCAGTTCCTTCATTTCCTTTGGCGCTAGCCTGTAGGGTGGTTTAGAGATTGGGGCAGCGCCTGGTATTAGGTCTATCGTGAACTCGACTTCTCTGGTTGGGGGTGCTCTGGGGATTTCGTCTGGGAAGACATCGGTGAATTCGTTTACCACTGGAATGGTTTGGGGTTCGGCTATTTCGGTGTTGAGGTCCTTGACCGAGCATAGGAAGACTTCGTTTCCTTGGGTTAGATATTTCTTCATTTTTATCATGTTTACTAATTTGATTTCCGGATCCTTGTGGGTTCCGTGGTAGGATTCCCTTTTGCCGTTCGGTCCCCGTAAGACCACTTTTTGTTCACCGCATAAGATTTGTGCTTGGAATTTCCCTAGCCAGTCCATGCCCAAGATCACTTGTACTCCATCTAGTCTGAATTGTATTAGGTTGCTAGGGAATTCCACTCCTTCGATGGTGATTATTATGTTTTTGTACATGCGGTCACATTTTATGATTTCACCGGAGGCCACCTTGACTTGGAGTTGTACTCTGGTGCTGGTGTTAAGACCGAGTTGAGTGGCGAACTCGGTTGCTATAAATGAGTTGGTAGCCCCTGAATCAAATAGTACGGTGGCGGGGGTGGTGTGTACAAGGACGGTTCCGGATGCTATGTTGCTATCTCCGATTTTGGCTTTGCTTATGGTAAGGATCCTTCCTTGAGTGGCTGGTGTTACGGCCTTGTGGGGCGAGGTGGCCCTGGCGGTTTTAGGCTCCCGGAGGGGGTTTGTGTGGTTCCCTTTAAATTTTCTTTTGTGTCCCAGGCGTGTTTCCTGCGGTTCGTCTGGTATTTGTTGTAGTTGGAATGCCTTGGCATAGGCTTCTTCGAGGGTTCTTGGTTCTCGTATAGTTAAGGCCTTCTGGTTTTCGGGATTGAGGCCCTTTATGAAATTCTTGATTTTGATTGTCTCTGTAGGTACTAGTTCGGGAGTGAGGCGAGCTAGCTTAAGGAACTGCCGGTAGTACTCTACAATTGGGGTTGCTCCCTATTTTAGGTGGAGGAATTCTTCGTATATGGTTGCTTTCAGGTGACTGGGGTAGAATTGTTCTCGTAGTCGCGTTTTTAGGGTTTCCCAATTGAACCCGGGGCTTTGTTCGCAACTGGGTTTATCGTGGACCCACCAGGTGTCGGCCCAGTGCCTGAAGTAGAAAGAGGCCGCCTCTATTTGGTGGTTTTCTGGGCATCCCGTTGCCCTTAATATTTTGTCAAGGGTTCTGATCCATTCTTCGAGGATGGCGGGATTTTCGTCCCCTGAGAAGGTGGGCGGTTGGTGTTCTGAGACTTGGCGGTGGATTTCCAAGTTTCTGTTTGGTGGTAATGGTTGGGGGACTCCATTGTTTAGTGCCTGGGCAATTTGGGCCAGACGTTGTAGATTTTGAGTCAAGAATTCCTGTGTGGGAAGTTTCGGTGCCTTTGTCTGTTTCCTCTTTGGTGCCATCCTGGGGTTCATAAGTTGATATTATTTTGCATCCTTACCTTGATGTTATGGGTGTAGAGGAAGTTTATTTAAATTATGTGCGAGTTGGGGTGAAGGAAGTGTAACGTCTCACGGTCTCACCGTGTGTCCTATGATCCCTAAATCCAATCTTACTGAACCCCTAATGTTTTAAGCCTATTGTCCTAAGGTCTTGGTCTTATGAGTCTTATCCTAGGGTAAAACTTAGGCTCTTATACCAACTGTAACACCCCAAAATTTTTCAACTTTTAAGACTTATATAATAAAGGTAAATTCTCATTAAATCCCAAAAATATAACATAAGAGTATGGGGTGCTATGCCACACCTGAGCTAGAGAACTCAGGTGCATAGGCTAACTAACTAAAATCCTCAATAATGTCAATACATAAGCATGGCACGCAGGCAGAAAGGGAAACTATCTACTCTACGCTCCAAATCTCTAGCGCGCTCCAGTGTCTACTCATATGTGCCTGAAAGCCAAATATATCTGTTCAGCGAGAGATGCTGGTAACCCACTCCAACGCGTTGAAATACATTATAGATAGATATATATAGATATACGAAAACCATTTCGAAGCAGGAAGATATATACTTAAGAGACACTAGTTTTAAAACCAGAAATAGACTCAGCAAATAGGGATAAGCTCATCAATCAACAATAAACAGTTAAGTAGGGATAACGTCATAAGGAATGCGCATCTAAGGTCACAGAACACTTTCCAAATTTCCAATCACATCATCATTCATATCACATAATCGTTGATGGCGCCAAGGGACCAATCGCATGCCCCGAACATGAGGGTTAATGCTTATAGCATTAACACGGCCCCGCAGCACCCAACCTCAGTACCGCGGTATGAGGGGAGTTGATCGCAACCAACCCTTTAAGAACCGCTGACGAACTCAACGTTGGACCACGATCCTACACACCGCTGACGCACCCAGTCGGTGGACCGCGATCCCTTTTTCAAGGGGGGACTTACGACCCTACACACCGTCGATGGGTACGCCAGTGGACCATAGCGGATCAAGCCTGACACACCGCGGAGCTATACTCAGTCGGTGGGCGAAGATCCTCGGAGACTATGGCCCTACACACCGTCGTCCCATCACTCGGTGGGTCGCAGCCAGCCGTAGCCCTACACACCGCCCCGATTACTCGGATCGGTGGACTACAGCCTTCCTCTGCTAATTGGCCCTACACACCGTCCTGGTGCGTTCAGGTCAGGTGGGTCATAGCACCGAGGCCCATGTGGACCGTAGCCCAAGAAGTGAATCACTGACCGCAGCCAGGAGAATGAACCGCAGCTCATAAGTAGTCAACCAGTGGACCGCAGCCCGATATAATATTTATATACCTGTCCGATCGCAACCGGCCTGGTTAACAGTTGGTATGGTTCTCAACCCATCCAACTGGCCGTATAGCCAATTTGATCGCAACCAAATTGGGGAATCATGCATCACATAACACATTATAGCACATAATAGCACATTGGGAAGGGGAGACTTATAATTAAACTTACGTGTGATCATTCACATACTAAGAATCGTCCTAAGGGGTTCATACGATTTCCACCTAGGTCAACGGGCTACAATTCAACTAGCATGCAAAATCCTAAGATTCACCTATCCTACGAACGGTACTCGAAACGTCAAACTAGACTCAGGCACGACAAACGGGGTCCGTTGGGACGCCACAAGGAATGGGGGACATCAAACGGGGAAGCCAGGGACCCGGGAGGGGTCACGAACCAGCGGGTAGCCAGTGGGTGAGGGATCACCCGCCGGCTGCCCGCCGGAGATCACTGCCCGGCAGCGGGTTGCCGGCGGGCGGACGCCTGCCCGCTGCCCGGCGGTGATCTTCGGGCAGCGGGTAGGTGGCGGGTACCCCTACCCCCACCTACCCCCAACTGACTCATTCATCAATATTTCGTCCCGGGATCCTTTGTGGAACTCGAAACCATACTTAGACACTTTTAAACACAATTAACGACACCACGTAGTCAATTAACGGATCAAAAGCAAGAATCACATATAACTCATCTTATCACGACTTCTAAATATAAACAACACCCGAACATGTGAATTCCCACCCAAATATAAATCAAGAACATTACAACACAAATTCCCAATTCCTCCTAGGGCTCTAATCCCTCCCAAATCATCAAAATCACAATTTATCAAGAAATATCCTGATTTGTCAAGAATAATTACATCAACATCAAGAACCTCTTTTCATCATCAAGATCATCAAGATTTTCAAGAATACACACAAATCATCTTATCAATCATGAAGAATATGTCACAATTAACGTAGAGGAATTAATCAAGACACACGCATATAGAAGGAGGCCAAGGAAGGAGATTATAACGAAGAAAATAGGTTTTGTTGAGACATGGGTTACCTCTTAGCCTTAATTAATTTCCTTGGCTATGAAGGGTCTTTCTTTAAGATTTCTCCTTTCTTGATTTCTCCTAAGGGAATTCTTGGAACTTCTTGTGTGGTGAGAGATTATTTGTGGTGTGAGTTCTAGGTGCCTCCTATGTCCCTATTTATATAATTGGCTACATCTATTTCCTATGGGACTAATGGTTGGATTTAGGGATAAGGGTCCATGGGCTTATGGTGGGCCTTTCCTAATTAATGAGATTTTAATCTTCCTTTCTGGGTAATTAATTAATTGGTTTATGGGCCGTAACATGGGGTGTTACACGTAACACATAGGAGCACGTAGTAGCACATTGGGAGGGGAATGACATATAAATAAACTTACGTGTGATCATGCACATACTAAGAACAGTCCTAAGGGTTCATACAACTTCCACCTAGGTTGGCGGGTTACCAATTCAACTAGCATGCAATTCCTAGGACTTATTTAACCTATGAATGGTACCCGAAATATCAAACTAAACTCGAGCATGACAAACGGGGTCCGTTGGGACACCATGGGGAGCGAGGAACATCAAACGGGGAAGCCAAAGACCCGGGGTGGGGTACGGACCAGCGGGTAGCCGGTGGGTGGAGGGCCACCCGCTGGCTTGTTGCCCACTTCGGGTCTTTAGCTTCCCCGTTTGAAGTTCCCCGCTCCCCCATGGTGTCCCAACGGACCCCGTTGTCTTGCTTTAGTCTAGTTTGATATTTCGGGTACCATTCGGAGGATAAAAGAGTCTTAGGAATTGCATGCTAGTTGAATCAGTAACCCGTTGACCTAGGTGGAAGTTGTATGAACCCCTTAGGACTATTCTTAGTATGTGAATGATCACACGTAAGTTGATTTATATGTCTTCCCCTCCCAATATGCTACTACGTGCTCCTTTGTGTTATGTGATGCATGATCCCCCATTTTGGTTAAGATCAAATTGGGTGTTCCCGGGCTGAGGTTCAGAAGTTGGCTAAAGGCCAAAATGATTCACTTCTTGGGCTGCGGTCCACATGGGCCTCGGTGCTATGACCCACCGACCTGGACGCGTCAGGCGTTGTGTAGGGCCAATAAGCCGAGGAAGGCTGTAGTCCACCGACCTGAGTAATCAGGCGGTGTGTAGCGCTACGGCTGGCTGCGATCCACCGAGTGATGGGACAACGATGTGTAGGGTCGTAGTCTCCGAGGATCTTCGCCCACCGACTGAGTCCCTCAGCGGTGTGTAGGGCTAGATCCGCTACAGTCCACCGACTGTACGCATCAACGGTGTGTAGGGTCGTATGTCCCCCCATGTAAAGGGGATCACGGTCCACCGACTGTGCACGTCAGCAGTGTGTAGGATTGTGGTCCGACGTTGAGTTCGTTAGCTGTCCTCTATGGGTTGGTTGCGATCTACTCCCTTCATGCCGCGGTATGAGGTAGGGTGTTGCGGGGCCGTTTTAAGGCTATATGCATTAACCCTCATGTTCGGGGTATGCGATTGGTCCCCGTGGCGCCATCAATGATTATGTGATATGAATGATTTTTGGATAATGATGTGTTGAATTAAAAAGTGATCTATGACCTTAGATACGTATCCCTTATGATGTTTACTCTACTTAACTGTTTATCATTGATTATTGTGTTTGTCCCTATTTGCTGAGTATATTCCTGGTTTTAAAGCTAGAGTCTCCTAAGTATATATCTTACTGCTTCAAAATGATTTTCATATATCTATATCTATATACATATACCTATATTGTATTTCAACGCGTTGGAGTGGGTTACCAGCATCTCGCGCTGAATAGATATATTTGGCTTTCAGGCACAGATGAGTAGACACCAGAGCGCGCTAGAGATCTGAAGCGTAGAGTAGCTAGTTTCCCTTTTCGGCATGCGTTCCATGCTTATGTACTGACATTACTTTGAGGATTTTAGTTAGTTTGCCTGTGCACCTGAGTTCTCTAGCTCAGATGTGGCATAGCACCCCGTACTCTTATGTTTACTTTCGGGATTTAATGAGGATTTACCTTTATTATATAAGTTTTAAAAGTTTCAAAATTTTGGGGTGTTACATTTATGATCTTTTGGTGTGTTCTTGAAGTGGGTTTGGAAGGTGAGCTTTGTTAGGAGCTTGTTGAGGTGTAAAGTGAAGGTCTTTAGTCTTCAAGAGGTAACCCATGCTCTACAAAATCTATTTTGCTTACCTATATGTGATTTCTTGGATTCTACTTGTGATTTTGCTATGAAATGTGAGTGTTTATGCATTGTCTTGTGAAAATGCATATCTAGAGCTTGTGTTTAGGGTTCATTTGTGCCATTGTTTGGCTATTCCAATGATTCAAGTCATTTTGTTGTATTTGGTGAGATTTGGCATGTTTTGGACTTGAATTTGAGCTTGGAGTTGAAAATCCCCGAAGGGATTATTTTGGGCACAGGTGTGTACCTGCGGGCGGAACGGCGGGTAGGGGTCCAACCCGCCACCCACCCGCGGGGTACATAATTTGGAGGGCCTGTACCTGCGGGGTACAATGTGGTGTTGTTGGGGGATTTGTTCCCCGTGATTCGTTTGACTCGGTATTTGGTCTTTTGACTTCCCGATGTTCTTTTGTGGAACTATTTGAGAGTCTTCTTGATGTTTCGTATGTCTAGAACTATATGGTAGGATTCCATGTAGGTTTTTGGCGTCTTGAATCATGCTAAGTGTTCAACATTGTGTTTCGTTGAACTATGATGAGTCTTGTTTGTTCTTAGGAACTACGTTTGGTTTACCCGTTTGATAAGCATGCTAGTTCGGTGTTTAAATGCTAGCGTGTGTGTTGTTTGTACCTTCCGATTGGTTGATGATAACTTGTGTTATTCATCGTTGTTGTTGGACTGTGATCCATTCCTTGATTGAGTATGGTTTCATACCTTTGTTGTGATCCGTTGATTGATTCCTGTTGAGGTGTGATGTGTGTGTGGCTTTACCTGGATTGCACGATTAGTGGAATGGGACACTAGTCACCAAGGTATTGTGGTGGTCATCGTGGTGGCCACGACGTGATTATGGAGTTGTGACCTTTGTGTAAGATTCACGTATTTCTTGGGAGGCATGTGTTACCGTGTGTGTGATCGGCACCATCGTGTACTATGAAATCGGTGGTTCTGTTGGAGATGGTAAAGGTTGGACTTGGTGTACAGGGTTCCTGGAGGTAAAGGTTGGAACTGGACATAAGGTTGGGGGTAGCCAAAAGGTTGGAACCGGGCATAAGGAAGGCATATCAACTCGTGATGGGTGATGTCACGAGGGCTTGTGTAGCCATTGTTGTGAGTTATCTTCTTGTGACGTGTGTAGTCACAAAGGCATGTGTTGCCATTGGTCTTGTCTTTATCCTTTTGAGTTGTTGTTGTCCTTTGTGGTCTTGGGATGTGTTCCCGTGTTCTTGTTGAGAGTGTTAAGTCTTGTGTTGACAATTACTCTTGGTTTGGTACTTATATACATATGTATGTTTCGTAAATGGCTTTACAACTTATATCTTACCTACATATGTTATTTCACATGTATTCGTGGGTTACCAGCATTATTCGTTGACCGGGCGTCGTCCCATGTTTTATTGTGTTCTTTCAGGTGATGTTTAGACGAGTGCGCGGTCTAGTACCAGCTAGTATAGCTCCTCCTTTATGTTTTGTGGCCTGTGAGCTAGCTTAGACTTAGTATGATGAGATATTGGTTTTAGATTTGAACAATGCAGATGTTTGCCTGTGCGTTCACCCCTTTGGTGAGCGTAGCATAGCACCCCGTATTCCAGTTTATTTATATATCTTTCTTTCAGTCTTCGGCTGTGTTTGTTGTTTTTTGTTTAGATATCTGCATGTTTAAGGCTTTAAATAGCATGGTTTTTAGGGGGTGTTACACATGACGAATAACTTTTCGGGGGTACCGTAACTCCCTTGGTTGTTTGTGCCTCCTTGTTGGCCCATGATCGTAGGGGTTGAGTGCACTGAAAGGACTTGTCTCCTTCTCCTCCGCAGCTGAGGCATCGCCAGAGGTTTCCCAGGCAGTCCTTGCCTCTATGGTCCTTGTTGCATCTTCGGCAAAGGAAGGGTCTTGTATTTGCTTCGTTGTTTCTCATGGTGGCTCTTGGCCAGCGGGGTTGACCGGCCTCGTGTTAGAGTCGTTTCTAGCCCTTTTTACAGGTGGCGCCCTACCCCCTGTGTTTCTTTTACGGATCTGTTCCTGAACTCCCCGTTGTAGTAGTTGGATTCAATCGAGGTTGGCGGTGCTGGTGTAGGCTTCGTTGAGGGTTCGGGGTCTGCTTACGATTAGGGCCTTTCGGGCTTCGAAATTGAGGCCTGACACAAACTTCTCTATCTTGGTTGTCTCCGTAGGAACTAATTCGGGCGCGAAACAAGCCAGTTCGAGGAATCGTTTGTGGTATTCCATGACGGTGGGCATCCCTTGTTTTAGGTGGAGGAATTCCTCGTACATGGTTGCTCTTACGTGTGCGGGGTAGAACCGTTCTCGCTGTCGTGCTTTTAGGCCTTCCCAGTTGAATCCCGGTTCTTGCCTACAAGTGGGTCCTTCGTGAATCCACCAAAGGTCGGCCTCGTGTCCGAAGTAGAATGAGGCCATCTCTACGCGGCGTTCCTCTGGGCATTCCACTAACCCGAGGATTTTGTCGAAGGTTCGGATCCATTCTTCGAGGATCGTGGGGTCCTCTTCCCCTGAGAAGGTGGGTGGCCGATGGTTTGAAACTTGTCGAGTGACATCCGAGTTTCCGTTTGGTGGTGGTGGTAGTCGGTTGTTGTTACGGAGGACTGCGTCACTGAGTGCCTGGGCGACCTGAGTCAGTTGTTGTGGATTCTGAGCAAGAGGGTCGTGAGCGGAGGGTTCGGGGGTTCTTGATTGCCTTCTGGTGGGTGCCATGCTGATGGTCTACAGGGCCAATATTTATCTTAATGGTGTGTTAGTGTGTTCCACCCTTACCTTGATGCGATAAGCGTAGGGGGACTTCTTTAATTAAGTGCAGAATAAAGTGAGGGGAAAGTTATGTAATGATAGGTAGACTCACAATCTCACCGCGCGTCCTAAGTTTCTTGAATCCTATGTTCCTAAATAACTAGAGTTCAAGCTTAATGTCCTAAAGTCTTGTCTTAAGAGTCTTATCCTCGGGTCAAACTTAGTCTCTGATACCAACTATAACACCCCTAAAATTTTAAACTTTGAATGCTTATGAAATAAAGGAATAAATTAGACTATTGGTCCTGTGACTATTAGGATACTGATAATTTGAGTACGTGACTTTCAAAACTCTCACTTTAGACCTTTAACTATGCAATTATTAACAGATTTAGTCCTGCCAGCCAAATTGACGGCCAATTTTGGCCGGAAAAACATTTTATGGTTCGAATATATTTTTGATGAGGGCAAAAGCGTCATTGCAAGTGAAATTAAAGTGGGGGAATTTTCCGATTGCCGGTCTAAAAGAACGACACCTCTTCAGGTCCTCGGAGAGGTTTCGACGGCGGAAGCGGAGGCTTCTACACCTCCACAACGATCTTCTCCGCCCGCGGTGGCTGACAGGGACACGGCAATGTCAAGAACCTGGGCACATGATCGCCCGGCATTACTACCGGCAAAGTCAAGCTCAAATTTTGCTTCAAATCCGGTTGTGCGAGTACAGGCTTGCGGGCCCATCGTCACCGTCGGCGAAAGACCGATGGAGGGAGCGGAGCTTGTCCCAGTGGTAACATCAGGAGAACACGCCGCTCAAGGTGAAGATGACGATCAACAGCAGTGCGGTGCCGAGAGGGAAACCCAGAGACGGTCGAGACGCATCTACATGCGACGACGCTGAATATGAACTCTCCATCGCTTCTATCCCAACAACAATTCCTTATATTTCTCGATGCCCCTTCTTCTTCCCTCATTCAAAGGGCTCAGCAAACTGAAAAATTAAAATAACTACAATTGCTTCTGCAGAAAACAGAGAAAAGGAAGCTTGGAAATGGCATTTTATTAAGGAAATCCAATGATTTTCGAACACTGAATCAAATGTCTACATTAATTGTTTACTTAAAAAGAAAAAATTTGTATGTACAACGAAGAAAAAGAAATAAAACGACCACCTCTTGGTGAAGTGAACGGTCAGCTTTTGACAGTGAAATACCGAAATCTTTCGCCGAGGATTTCCCCAGTAAGCCCGGATCCATGGTGGACGGATCGGTGTGGAACGGATCACTCATAAACGCCTGATCCGACTCCCGCTTTAATTTCACTTGCAATGACGGTTTTGCCCTCATTAAAAATAGATTCGAACCATAAAATATTTTTCCGGCCAAAATTGGCCGTCAATTTGGCCGGCAGGAAATCTGTTAATAATTACATAGTTAAAGGTCTAAATTGAGAGATTTGAAAGTCACGTAGTCAAATTATCAGTACCCTAATAGTCACAGGACCAAAAGTGCAATTTATTATGAAATAAGAGCAATATTATCATTAAATCCCAAAATAGAGCATAACTAAACATATGTGTTGGGGTGCGATGCCATCTGAGCTGGAGAACTCAGATGCACAGGCTAAACTATCTAAACATTAGGAATCCTCAAATCAATGTCAATAAATCTTCATGGCACGCAGGCCGATAAGGAACTAACTAGCTAAGCCTCGGGTCCTCTAGCGCGCTCTGGAGCTACTCATCTGTGCCTAAAAGCCAAATATATCTGTTCAGCGAATAATGCTGGTAACCCACTCCAACGCGTTAAAATACAATATAGGTAGATATATATATATATATATATATATATATATATATATATATATATATATATATATATATATATATATATATATATATATATAAAGAAAACCTATTTTGAAACTGGAATACATATATACTCATGAGACTCTAATTTAAAACTGAGAATAGACTCAACAAGGATAGGCACATTCATCGGCTATAATCACGCATATCATGATACTAGCATATACCCTAAGGTCACAAGATTATTTCACATCAAACACATCAGTATTCAATCATTATCACGTAAACACATTTTGGTGGTGCCGCAGGACCAATCGCACGCCCATACATGAGGGTCAACGCATATAGCTCTGACACGGCCCCGAAGCACCCTACCTTGTACCGCAGCACAAAGGGATTGATTGCAACCAATCGATGAACGACAGCTCGTTTATAATGTTTGATCGCAAGCAAACGGTGGACCACAGCCCAAATAGTGTGTATTTTTTATCGCAACCAGATTATGGACCGCAGCCCTATATATATATATATATATATATATATATATTTATATACCCTTCCGATCGCAACCGGCCGGGTTAACAGCCGATGGTTCTCAACCCATCGAACTGCCTGTATAGCCAATTGATCGCAACCAATTGGGGTATCATGCACAAATAATATATAGCCAAGCACATGCAACCCACATTTGCACATAGGGAGGGGGAAAACATATATATAAACTTATGCGTGGTCAACCACATTACTAGAGATACGCCTAAGGGGTTCATGCATCTTTCTCCTAGGTTAACGCCCAAGACTCTCTTATCCTACGAACGGTACCCGAAACATCAAACTAGACTCAGGCACGACAAACGGGGTCCAATGGGACACCACGAGACACGGGGAAACATCAAATGGGGAAAACCACCATATTCTACACTTGGATTCCAGCGGGTTGCCGGTGGGTGGAGGACCAACCGCCGGTTGCCCGCCGGCGGCGCAACACGAGGCAGCGGGTGCCCGGCGGGCAGTCGCCTGCCCACCGGCTGCCCGCTGCCAGGCGGCCTTCATGGGGCAGCGGGTAGGTGGCGGGTACCCCTGCCCCCACCTACCCCCCACATACTCTTATGCAATAATTCGGTCCCGGGATCTTTCGTGGAACCCGAGACCATGTCCAAACACATTTAAACACAAACGACGACACCACGTAATCAAGTAATGGATTTAAAATCAAGAATCACATTAAATATATCCTAACACGACTTCTAAACATAATCAAGACTCAATACCCGAACATGCAAAATCCTACCCCAATATACCAAGAATATCACAATACGAAATCCACGATTTAACCCTAGGGCTCTAGTCATATTTAAAGCACAAGATCATAATTTATCTTAAAATCAAGAACATCAAGATTATCAAGATCAACACATAAATATCAAGATCACCTCATAAACATCAAGATTAACAAGATCACATAAATATCAAGATTATCTTATAAACATCAAGATTATCTCATAATCATCATAAAAGCCTTATCAAGACACAAGCATAGAAATTGCATATCAAAGGAGCCAATAAAGAAGATTATAGCAAGGAAAATAGGTTTTGTTGAGACGTGGGTTACCTCTTAGCCTTAATTAGAATCCTTGCCTACTAAGGTTCTTTCTCTAAGATCTCCTCTTCTTGATTTCTCCTACGTTTGGTGATAGGGAAATTATTGTGTGGTGGTATCTATTGTGGTGTGAATTCTAGGTGCCTCCTATGTCCTTATATATATATATCTAAGAGTCCTAACTAGGGTTTGAATGGTAGGGATTTACTTATTCTATTCCTTATAGGACTAAGGGTTTGGTTTAGGGATAAGGGTCCATGGTCCATGGTGGACCCTTCTTAATTAATTAATGGAATTCAATTTTCTTTTAAGGGTAAGTAATTAAATAATTAGTTTGGGTTAGAGGCCGTAACATGGGGTGTTATAATCACAGCCAAGCAATCAACAATAAGACACATATTGGTTTACACATATATGGTGGTGCCGCAAAACCATTCACATGCCCATACATGTGGGTCAGTGCATATAGCTCTGACAGGGCTCCGCGGCACTTTAACTTGTACCGCAGCACAAGGAGATTGATCGCAACCAATCAATGAACCGCAGCTCATTTATATCATAAACGTTTGATCGCAACCAAACTATGGACTGCAGCCCTATTATCATATATGTCTGATCGCAACCAGATTATGGACCGCAGCCCTATATAGCCGATTGTTCTCAACCAATCCAACTGCCTGTATAGCCGACCGATCGCAACTTGTCGGGTTAATACCTGGTTGTTCTCAACCAACCAGATAGTCATTATAGCCAATTGACCGCAACCAATTGGGTTATCATGCACAATAACATAGAAGCCAAACAACATGCAACCCACATTAACACATAACGAGGGGGAATCATCGGGGAACACTTAACCCAACCTAACTCTAATGTAACAAACTACATTAACCCACCCATGACACTCCTTCAGGATCATACACCTTCCGCCTAGGCCAACGGGATACCAATTCAACTAGCATGCAGTACACAAGACTCTATTATCTTAAGAACGGTACCCGATACATCAAACTAGACTCACACACGACAAACAGGGTACAACGGTACACAACGGGGCACGGGAAAACATCAAACGGGGAAAAACACCACGAACCACGCCGGGATTCCAGCGGGTAGGTGGCGGGTGGAGGACCACCGGCCAACCACCCGCCGGCCTTCCCGCTGGAACAGTAGAGGCGGGCAGCGGGTAGGTGGCGAGTGGTCAGTCCCCCACCTACCCCCCACGGATACACAGGCAACTTTATGGCCCCGGGATCCCTTGTGGAACCCGAAACCATGTCCAAACACATTAACACACATAATGACCACACCACGTATTCTATTAACAGAATTAAACCAAGAATCACACCAAATACTTCCTAACATGACTCCTAAACATGCCAAGACTCAATACCTGATCATGCAAAATCCCACCCAAACATACCAAGAATAACATAATACGAAATCCACGTTATTACCCTAGGGCTCTAGACATAATCAAAATACAAGATCATTCATATAACTTATCATAGTATCAAGAACATCAAGATTATCACATAAGCATCAAGATTAACACATAAAAATCAAGATTATCACATAAACACAATACAAACCCTAGGCAAAACTCTATCAAGACTCAAGCACAGAATCATATATCAAAGGAGCCAATGAATAAGATATACCGAGGAAAATAGGTTTTGTTGAGACATGGGTTGCCTCTTAGCCTTAATTACTATCCTTGGCTACTAAGGTTCTTTCTCTAAGATCTTCTTCTCGTGGGTTCTCCTACGTTTGATGACAGGGGAAATCCTAGGGATATCTTGTGTGGTAGAATCAATTGTGGTAGGATTTCTAAATGCTTCCTAAGTCCTTAAAATATATATATATATATATATATATATATATATATATATATATATATATATATATATATATATATATATATATATATATATATATATATATATATATATATATTTAGGAGTTCTAACTAGGGTCTGAATTGTAAGGATCCATTTATCCTATTCCTTATAGGATTAAGGATTTGGCTTTAAGGATAAGGGTCCACATTTTATGGTGGGCCACCCTTAATTAATTAGAGGGGATCCTAACTCAACTAAATCCTTTATACTTATTTTTAATGGTAATTCATTAAGTAACTAGCCCGGGTTTGAGGCCGTAACGCGGGGTGTTACACACTCCCCCCTTAGAAGAAATTTCGTCCCCGAAGCCTGGGCATGGATCCACTCTCTCACCCCTGGATGTCATGCATTCGGCCTCCTGGTTCAGGAAATGTGGCTCAACATGTCGTTTGCTGGGGGTAGAGTGGGGTTTGGTTAGGTTGGTGATGAGAGGCGTCTTGGAGATTCGGGTGTACCTTGGCTTCCCACTCCCGAACTTGAAGCTCCCTGAGTGCCCAACATGGTCTCGATTGCCGCCACTCTCCTATCCAACAAGCTTGTTGCGAGAATCAGAGACGAGAATCCGTCATCCATGGTCCGGTTCTATCTCGTGAGTTGCGCAAGGATGCGCTCATTGATGATCCTCTCATCTCGGTCTTCCAAGTTTTCTCTTCCTCGTGCGGGCTCAGGCTAGCTAGGCTCGCTTTGTTCTTCCTGTTCCTCCTGTTCTCCATTTTCTTGCATTGCGCGTCTCATCCTCTTGTTAGAGATTTCCAACTGATCAACTAACACTCGTCGTTCTTCTGAGGATTTCAGGCAAACCTCCTCGAGGGTGATGTACTGTCCTTCTCCGACATAGTAGATGTCGTTGCGGCGGAGGTTTTGTTCATTGAAAACCATTCCACCTATGGGCCTGGTTTTTGACCGGCTTAGGTCCACTC